ATCCTGGCAAGGAAAGTAAAATCATTTTCTTTTGTTCTCCTCCCTCAACAGCTACTGTCATCAAGGTGCCCTACAGCAAGACACTTAATCATCAGCAGCACCATTGACCAAAGCTGAGCACTGGGTTGTAGCTTTCTTGAATGAAGAAGTTTATTTCAAAGTTCTCACAAGGACATGTCTTGACGCATGAGGCTCCAAAGTTGAACTTTTTGTTTGGGTTGGGTTTGGTCTGGTAGGTGTTGGAGTCATAGATAGTGGGCTGAGGGCAGCTCTCCTTACACACACCACTGTCATTGAAGTGACGGCAAGCCTGGACAGAAGAGGAAGCAGGAAATAAATGAATGACAGACTGTCAGACAACAACGAGATTACACTGAAGAAAAAGAACAATGAACACTGTATCTGACAGATGTGTGTGTGTATATGTGTGCCATTTACCAGACAGTCTGAGTCTTTGGGTCCTGTGCAGCCAGCAGCACACTGCATGTGACAACAGTCATTAGACAGTGGACCTTTGCATCGCTGACAGCCAGGTGCACACCCAATACGAGTGACTTTGAACAAAAAATGAAAAAGTGAACATTTTGTACCTCACATGCTTTTGGAGCAAAATAGTGTCATACTGTGAACATTAACGTTAACTCACAGTTTTGGCAGTCCTGTTCGGTTTCTCCCCAGCAACTTTTGTTACATTTAGGGTCACAACTGGGACCTGTGCCAGAAGAAACCCGACAGCAACATATTAGGAGAGCTAAGCACTTAGCGCACAATTTAGCAAGGATGTACTTAAGGAACATCAGTCCTTTGAGCTAAATGCAACCATTAAACATGACAACATGCTCACAAGTGTAGCATTCATGACATTTAGCAGTTCAACTTTACCAGGTTCACCAGCTTTGTTTTGCCTATTAGTTAACATCAGCTAATTAAACAAAGTATAGCTGAGGATCACTAGAATTTAGATATGGGCTCTTTGGATAGTTGTAGCAAATTTGAACACAATCCACTCAGTAATTCTGAGTAGGTATGTTTCAGCCTAAACGACAAATGTAAAAGCTCGTGGTGGCATATCATATCAGTCAATCCGCTGTTTACAGTTAGGGGCCTGAGACTGCAGTCGGTGCCGCCTGTGGATATTCTGCTCGTCTAAAGTGTCCCTCCAAGTGATGTTCTGGGGGTCTGGGAAGCACAGCTGGGGGTTTCCCCAAATGTACACTGCTCCCAACAGGATCTCTGCAGAGAAAACAACATGTAAAAAGAGCTCAGCAAGTTGTTGTTACACATTCTGGAAACAACACTCCTCTACACTTAATATTCCAGTAAGCAGAAGCTCACTCAGAACATCTGAACAAGTCTGATTTCCTTTAAAAACATCAGATTTTTAAAGCTGAATATCAAATGAACAAACTAAAATAACTCGTATACACAGCCCAAGCCCATTTATGTGCAAGTCTTTCTGTTTTCTGACCTGTGAGGTGACGAAGTCGAAGTGTCCTGAGTCCCTGTCCATCCAAAGTGTTATTCAGCACAGCCAGGGAATAGTTGGAATTGTACAGCTGGCTGCCTCGGATGATCCGAAGGTTGTCCAAAGGCACCAGACTCACTGAAACATTGGCTACAAGGACGTAACCCTGCACCTCCACGATCCCCTAGAGAAGCAATGGATTAAAAAGGATGACTGATCTGGCAACTTAGAGGTGGCTTGACTTAAAAAAAAAAAAAAAATCTGGTGCTTATAATAACAACAACTGAATATTTGTTTTGCCTTGATTTACCTGTAGAAAGGAGAGGTCGAGGTTTCCATGAAGGTGTGTAATCTCCAGGTTGCCATGGACGACCCGACAGCCGGTGTAGAGCAGCCTCAGGGTCTCATAGTGGTTTTCCAGGCTGGAGGGCAGGACCAGCTTCATATCAGTACCCAGGCACACTGCAACACAGACAACGTATGACCCCAACTTCAATGTTAATCAAAATCATTTGCAGTGCAAATAATATTGGCGGAAAAACTCCATGACACAAAATTTTTTAATAAAAAACATTTAGGACCAAAAGCTTCTTAATTTATCTACATATTTGCAGCTGTTATTCCTGGGGTGATAAGGCAAAATGTGCTGAGAGTTGACTGCGACAGGAGCTTCAAGAGCTGCTGCATGCATTTGAAACATTTAACACCAGAAGCCACAAAGCACTCACATTCCTGTCAAAGTGAAAACTGAACACCTTGATGATGACTGAGTTTAGTGCTGCAACCATTTAACCAGTCAGCAGAAAAGTAATAATTGTAATAACTGATGGCAATGCCTAGTTTACCAACAACATTTCAACTATTCATGTGACAATTTAGTGATTTGCTCTATTTAATACAAATGTAAATGACCTGTTTAGGTTTTGGACTGTAAGGGAAGCTCACACAGTCATTTGTGACCATTTTCGCACATTACTAAATGATCAGTATGTTTAAAGAATAATCAACAGATCAACTGATAACACTAGACGTGTCATTTCCACAGAAAAAAGTGAGCGCCACTTTTTTGTGCTCAGTACTAAACAGACACTGCTGATTATTCCGTTTCATTTGTTCACATGAGCACAGAGAAAATATACACGTGTAACAGCACTTTCTAAAGAGTTTGCGGTTTTTTAAATGGCTTCAAATGTCATTCTGACCATGTAAGACTGAATATTTAACACATGGAACTCATTAACACTAAGACTCTAAATGATGACAGATGTAAGGACATGGACTCCACCTACTTTGACTAAGTACTATGAAATATAAACCACATGCCCTGCCTATATCTGTCTCTTAGTGCAGGGGATTTTAACTGATTGTGAGCCAGGGACCACCCCTGTGACTACCAAGCAGCCAGGATCACTGCTGGGTGGTGGGTAGATCAAATGAGCACTGAATTAATCTAGAAAGTTACCTTGGTTTTTCTAACTTTTATATACTCGCATGACTTTCATTAGTCACAAAAAATAATTTACATGGATGGATGGATGGACAGACCACCAAGGGGGCATGAACCACGGGTTGAGAACCCCTTTCTTATTGTACATGATACATTTTCCACTGGCAGCAGAGAGCACAGATTCTCCACACTGGGTCACACATTACATTCAGGGTCATACAGCATTACAATTCGCAGGGGCTCTCACAGACACATAGCTCCCATGCTTTAGCAGGCAGTCACACTGTGGACTGTCCCTCCTCTGCTGAGGTTATAAATGACTTCCTCTGGCTTCCTTCCAACAGCCCTTCAATAGTCAGCCCACTTTTGCTGATTGAAACCGCCCCCTGTGCTATCTCTGTCTCTCCTTTCGAGAAAGATGGCTGGATAGATTTGAATGCATCATCGGAGGAGCGGGAAGTCCAGGCAGGCATGGCACAAAAGGTTCAACAAAGTTCAGAAGAAGTGTGTTCAAGCTGTTCTTATCAAGTGTGTGCGTCTGCCACGTGTAAAGTTTCCTGGTGATGGCTGAGCATTCTGAACCTGCTACTGCAGCAAATGGGTCTATGATTAATAGTACGGCTGCCAAAAATACACACCCAGTCGGTGCGGCTTGCGTCAAATATAAAATCAAATGACTAATCATTGTCTTCTTCAGTAATGTCATCATGGAAAATAGTTTCATGTGTCAAGCCAAGATGGAAGTCGTGCTTTTATATCATTTTAAGAAGTCAATATCTGAACAGAAACGGACTCCCTGAAACTCCACACGCACAAACACTACAGACAGCTCCAGCTTGGGGATTAGATAAATGTGCTGTTAACAGAAAGCACAGCAGAGCAGATTTTCCATTTCTAGAATGTGTGTGTAAAGCCAGTTCTCAGTTTCGTCTCCTTTGATTCCCGTATTGTTTGCACTCCAAAAGTCTCTCAGCAATGGGTACGTGGGTGTATGTGCGGCCTTCTGAAGAGCTACACACGCCTCCATCCGCACAGCCTACAATACTCCCTCTTTTATCACTTCGCTTGCTCTGTCTGCCCGCTGTCATGACACTGTCCCCGCATTCCCCTTTTAATACACTATGTGTCATTACGTCGCCTACAGTAGGTAGGAGCCAAATTATTAAACTTTGTGATCACACTCAGTGCTCAAGCATAAATGCTGTAGTTGACTGCATTCAAGTGAAGAGTGATGGAAGTAACTGGAAAAAAGGAGAACAGTTCAAACCTTGCTTACTTTCTCACCTCTGCACTTCTGATAAAATCACTGTGTGATGCGAGCGTGACTGTTGGATTGTTACAGAAATTACTGGAAGCAGCACCTGCAGTTACCGTATAGCACATCGGAGAAGAGGGCTGTTCATCCATCCATCAAGCAGAAGTGCATAGCTTGACCTTTTCAAAACGTATAATTCAGCATTCACTTCCACTTCATGCTGTTATTGGCCAACTGAATTCTCTTTTGTAATTTTTTTTTATATTTCTGTCACTGTTTGTTCTTAAAACTAAGTGTAACACTATTAATGGCTTCAAGAAATTATCTGAAAGTGTGTGTTATTTTGATGCCTTAAGTGTCACATTTAAAATCCTCACATTTAAAATGCTAGAATAAACATTTGTCATTATGTGGAGTTTTTTTTTTTGTTTTTTTGATAGTTCAGAATCTCTCATTTTTTGATGTTAGGGACATGACATATATTGGATGAATTAACAGAGACTGATTTGATCTTATCTGTCATCCTACAACAGAGGATGTGCTGCTCTAAGCTCTGTCCTGTACCTGTGTGTCTCTTGAGACTGACTGAAAACTAAAAGCCAGCTTGAAGCCACACCTGTGTGTGGCAGTGTGCCAGTTAGCACAGGGAGTGTGCATATGTGTTTACCAGTATGTGCATGGTTAAGTGGCACAAACACAATGGCAGCGATGCTACTGCAGAGTTAAACTGAGGCTTGTTGGAAAAACCTGCAGTGGGACACACCAGCACAGTCAACATGATCCTCTGGCTTCCACGGTCCTCAAACGGATTAAAACCCTTCAAAGCTCAACACAAACAAAATGAGCTGAGCTGCAACAGGACTTTCTCCGTCACTGTATTAGCGCCTAGACTTAACATGTCAGTCCTAAATCTAACACAGTTCTTGTCTTGCATAAACTTCAAATTTCTCTCAACCTCCCTGAACACATTTTTTCCCCCCTTCACTTTGTGGCTGAGGAAAAAAAACAGGTATTGCTCAACAGACAAGCAGAACAGGATCTGTACTGTTCTGGAGCTACAAACAGGAGCTTCTCAGTCATTCACGATGTCACTACATTTAGTAGCAGCTGTATTTAAATTTACAGTTCATTTCAAAAGGAAGAAATGTAAACAAAGTACAGAAAAAGAGTTTATTAAAGCAGTCACTCTCTCTCTGTGTGTGGAAAATCACCTGTTAGCTTGCATAGTTGATCGCACTGATCTGTACGGTAATGAGCAGATAAACCTAAACTGTCCTTTTCAACTTGCAATCTCAAGTGTACAACATTTTTTTCTGACTGTATGATTCCTTTGGAAAGCTAATTTAGAGAACCAGACAGACTTATTGTCATGATTCTGGACAATGAACAAATTAGGTTCTAGGATACAGTGACATTGACAGATACTAGAAATACTGGTATGTTGCCCAAACCACGGTTGGATAATCACAATATCAATTACAAAATAATTACATGTTTACAGTTAATATTACATTTAAAAAAAATCAGGGTTAACATCAGTTCAACATTTCGAGAAGTGTTAAGGGCAGCCACAGGATTCTTCCTTGTGGACATGTTAGTATCTACAGCTAATGTGTTTGTTTTGCTAACATTAGCAACCTAGCCTGGTGATGCAATAACTCTGAATTATTATTTATCAAGATGTGATTTTACTGCACAGACAATAATACTGAACTGCAGAGATCAGTATTATTTGCAAGGATTTTCTGACATGTTTTCCTTTATTTCTGATAGCAAGAGTATAAAGGTGCCAGAAAACAAGGAAGAGACAAGAGGGATAACAAAAGTCCCCAGCTGGAGTCATATTTTTATTGCTGAATTATTGCCCAGTGCCTAGCTATCAGAAAGCATCACACTGATAGAGGATACAAACACAACCAACAATATTTTTCTCCGCAACACAGATCCTTAATAAAAGTTCATCTGCAGGAGACATGCACGCAAAATTACCATGATGGAAACCAGTTTTATGAAGAAATATTTTAATCCTAACAAGGCTGTCCTGATTTATTTGAAAACTGTGATTTGCTTGTACTAATTTGCATCACAGCACGGTAAATGCTGGTTGAAGGGATGCAACTCAAACCTAAGAAGATATTGAAAGTTTACTTTTGAGGTGGGTAATGAGGACCACTGGTAGACCCCTCCTCAGAAGTAGATCACTGACCCGTCATCTAGACTCGACTGGAGGAGTTAACCTGCCACTGGGAACAATTCAGTAGGACTTAATCACCTCCCAGTAAGTTTAACTCAATGAGTGCACTAGTGTGTGACAAGGACATGAACCCTGTGGATGCTGAGGCCACCGAACACACATGTTCTCATACTGGGGAAGGTTGCTGAAATGTATACCAATCACCAAAGAAAAAACACCTAAAGCGACTGCTGACCTTTACAATCACACACTTGTTGACCACAGGATGTGTGTGTGGGCTGGTATTACTCATGCTGTGGAGATGCACATCTGTTTACTCGACAGAGGCACAAAAAGTAAGTGCTCAAACTGTAAATCATTACATGTTAGAGTGACGACTAACATTTAAGGTCAGGGTTGGTCTCCTAGAAATAAATGTGCAACGTCCCCCGAAGCAACAGAAACATGACTGTGTGGAAGTGTGTGAGTAAGTGCACAGTGTAGACAACAACAATACTCTATCCACTCATGGATGATGCCTGGCTTGAAGGACGACATACAGACAAATCAAAACGCTCACACTAAACTGATGCTTCAGAGATTGACACCGTGGAGTAAAGTGCACCAACCTGTTCCCACCAACAATGCAGGTGTATTTGGAAATCACTTCACCTGTGACTGTTGGCTTTGTTTGTGTAGTAGTGATGGTCGGTGCAGCAGCTAAAAAAAGACTATATTTTTACTCATATTACAGATTTCTGTGGTGAAGATGGTTGGAATTAATTATTCTTATGTAGAGATTTAATCATAAACTAAACCACAGTGCTATTTCATATTTCCTTTCAGCAAAGTTTTGATTTTTTTAAGTGCATCTTGATCAAAGCTGTGAAAAGCACATCAACAGGGACTGCATTTTAAAAGGAACACTTATTGACAAATATTAACCTTTATCTTGTGCCAAAAAAGGCTTTAAAATCAGATGACCAGGATTATTGTTAGGCTCTCTCTGATTCCACCTAAAATAGATCTTTATGAATATGGAAGCCTACAACCACTATTATAAACTAGGGCTGCAAAAAAATGTTAGAGAATAACTGTTAACCTCATCAGAAATTGTTCCTATAGAGCCCAAAGTATATGTCATCAAACTGGGAGTTGCCTTTTGCTCCACATACTGTCCAACTCTCAAAAATAATCCGTTTATTGCAATATTAGAGAAGAAAAATGAGCAAATACTGACAATGGGGAAACTGCTTCAAATGTTTGGCATGTTTGCTTGAAAATGACTAATTGTTTCCATCTAACAACGGGGTGTCAAAAATGGTGGAAACGCAATCCTACAAGTAAACGCATTCGTTAACGCTCTTCTGTTTATCACCATTAGAATATCATGATCTGTAGGACGATTTTACAAATACGCACTTGTCTGCACTTTCAGTTAGCTCTTGTTTTACTGGCATTCACTCAAGCTCCAAGTGCGACAAGGGGCTCCTCTCTCAGACAATGTCCTCTTTGGAGCCAGAAGTGAATAATTGACATCGCCAGTGTCCTTGGAATACAACGCGCAACCTGTTATTGTTGGTTTTGTTTTTGTTTATGCACAGAGCAAACCAGCCAAACGTCCGATAGCACACACAAGTCAGCGTCTCTATCTGCCACCAAGCTGCAAAACAGGTTCTCATATTTCTCCTGTTTCAAATGTTACTGCTACTACCAGTGTTTATTTGCGCACGAACGCGTACTTGAAGTTGTTACAAATGAGTCCAAGTAGTCGCTGGACGCTACGTTGTGACAGGTGTGAGTTTTCTCCTTAGGGCGCTTCATGGATCTCACGAGCCCCCGCAGCGACACAGAGGACGAAGGCTGCGGACTCATGAGGAATGTGGTCCCTGCCACAAATATCAACCCCTTTGGGCCAAGATGAACCACAAACATTTACGTAAATAAAACAAACAAACTATACTCCCATATTCCTAATATGTGGTGTGTCTATTTTACTAACAGTAGAGGAATTAAAAACTCTGAAATTTACCAACCTTCTCTGCCCAACGCGCCCGTAACTCCGAGCAGTACGGCCCCGACAAAAACCAAACTTCTCACCGCCTCCATCTGCTGCGCCTCTAGTCCATATTCTGTAATCAAATGTTTTTACTGTTCCCGATGATGAATGGTTGTGTTTTGGCGTCTCCCTCGTCCCCAGGTTAGCTTTTTTTGGCACCGTTTGGCGTTGCTCGTTTCCAAATCTCAGTGACTTCCTCCCTGGAATTCCGTGCCTGTCGGTAGTAAAGCGTGACAGCGCGTAAAGCTGAGGCGCGCACCCGAGAAGGCCTAAGCGGGGAGTGGCAAGTTTGACTCAACCCACCCTCACGTCAAGCTGACTTACTGTATTTGCAGGGCAGTGCAACTTTCTACAAAACAATAATACACTTCATCCTAGCTGCTGCTTACACAGTGTGAATACAGGTATTTTTACAGCACTGTGCAAAAGTATTTGGCATTTTAATAAAACAGCTTCTGAAACAGCACCAATCAAATTTTATACATAATAGACACAAACTCTTAGTCTTTTTTATGTCTCAAAACATGCCAGGAGGGAATATTTATATAAACTGGCAGTTCAATCATCCTGACAACCTTCAAAAGGCAAGCAGATATCAAATGAATTGAACACCAGTAGTGGAAGAAAGATTCAACTGCTTAAGTTATAGTAGCAAGAATTGTAGAAAAAAATTAATAATTTAAAAGTAGGCAAAAAAAAAAAAAGTTGGCATACTTGCAGGGATGTGCCTTGAGGGATTTATAAAAAAGAAAGATTAGACACTATTCCAAATTTTAGCACCAGAAACACTGGCTCTTTCCATAATGCAACTTGATAAGCTTTTCTATTAATGCGCCCTGCCAATTAAATGCCTAGCATTTCGTTTATAATGCATTCTTTCTGTTAAAAAATACAAGTCTCAGGCTGAATCTGAAATAATTCTGGTGACATCCACAGAAGACAGGATGCTGTTCCCTCAGGCTACATACTCCTGTTGTCAACTGTAAAATCAGTGACGCATTCCTTATGCCAAATGGCTCCTTTCAGACTTTTACATTACATTATTGGATTACTCTTGCATGTTAGCAGCAATTTATTACAGACTTTTTTGAGGTGGAGTAAATTTGAACTCTTTTATAAACACTGGTTTGATCTGTTTCATGTCTTAATTTGAAAAAGAAGAGACTGTTACATGGATGTATAGTAATAGAGCAAACCATTATTTCCCTTTGAAAGGTTGCAGGGCAGAAGCATAAACTAGCATAAAATTTAAACATTCAAGTAAAGTGTCGATATCTCATAACTGTACATTAGTGTTGAACAGTAGTTGGAAAAAAATGTTACATTTCATCACTGTGCACATTCCAGTTCAGCTTTCTGGGTTGGATTTTTGTGCACCGCTTAATTTATAAAAAGCTAATGGCATTACACCGGCATCTTAGTTGTTCTTTGACTTTTCCCATGGCCTTCGCTTCATGGTCATAAACCAGGAGATGAAGGAGCAAGGATAAACTCTGTTCATCCCAGTATCCACTCTCCCCACCCACAGCAGCCAGGGTCAGAGTCCACCCTACTGCACAGTGCTATCAGGAGACAACAAAAAGCTCCTCACAGAGCCAGACAGAACACAAGCCCCAGACAAGGTTTAGTGCTCCTGCTTAGATGATTGTTTCCCACAAAAATAAGCCATTTTTCTGCAGCCCAGTGCCACTGAAGCCTTCATGGGACAGAGTCAATTCAGCACTCTGGTTGGATAATTTTAGACTGTAATTGTAAAACTAACAAGTTTTATGATGCATTCCTATCAAATCCTGGATTAGGTCTGCTGGCTCTGTAGAAACGTTAGTGGTAAAAATGTGCATTTGGAAGTCAGTTATGCAAATGCATCCATTTTCTAGGACTCAAACTATTATACATTGTGGGTTCATGGGATGAAAAGTGAGGGCAGCAAGTGTGTGAGAAATACATCCGAGAGAGTGAGAAAGTTCAGTCAAGTCTTATAAAGGCTTGTTCTGGACAATCAGAATCCTCTCATAGTATTACTTCTTTACTTAGATCAATTTAACAAATACAGGCCAAGAGGAATGGCCTTGGTGATAACAGAGGCATAATGGCAACCTACAGAGTGTCTCTGCACACATGGTACAATGTCAGCAGGACCTTCAGACTGTAGTGAGACCATAGACAATACATTTCACTTACTTTGGAGTCACGGTGTCTGCTCTATAGAGGCATGACGCTGTTAGCATCATGATCGAGTCAGTGAGGCCGAGGATTTGAATGGTGGAGGAAGGTAATTAATTCCATTAAGTCCATTTACTGAAGTAATGTTCTTAAGTACAATTGTGAGGTACACATACAGAATTACTTCTTATGTATGTTTTGTATCTCCACTACATTTCAGAGGGATTTTTTCACCCCACCACATTTATTTGACAGCTATTGTTTCTAATTATCTTTTGTAAAACAACAATAAGCTCATAAAATAGTGTGTCTATATATATATACAGTCTTATGCAAAAGTTTAGGCACCCCTTGATAAATAACAGATTTTGGTGATTTTTTATTTGAACAGATGTTAACACAGTTTCTCTTGGAAATGGAAAAAATGCACAATATTTTCAGCAAACAGTGATGCATAGTTACTTCTTATGCCATAAATTGAACAAAAATAAAAAATAAAAACATTATTATGGCATGGTGCAAAAGTTTGGGCACCCTAAGAGTTCCAGAGTCTCAAAGTCTCTCACAAGGTATCAGACCTTAATCAGCTCGTTAGATCTGATGCACAGCAACAGCTGTCATTGGTAAATGCCAATTTCAAAGCTGTACAAATACTTTGACTCTTCAAACCTTGTGCACACACTTGTGGACACCCAGCAACCATGGGTTCCTCTAAGCAGCTGTGTAAGACCCTGAAAATGAAAGTTATTGATGCCCACAATGCAGGAGAAGGCTACAAGAAGATAGCAAAGCGTTGTCAGCTTGCAGTTTCCACAGTAAGAAATGTAAATAAGAGATGGCAGATCAGGGGAACTGTGGAGGTCAAGATGAGATCTGGAAGACCAAGAAAACTCTCGGACAGAACTGCTCGTATGCTGGTCAGAAAGACAAATCAAAACCCCCATTTGACTGCAAAAAACCTGCAGGAAGATTTAGCAGACTCAGGAGTGGTGGTGCACCGTTCCACTGTGCAGCGATGCTTGCACAGACAAGGCCTTCATGGAAGAGTCAGCAGAAGAAAACCTTATCTGCGTCCCCATCATAAAATCCAACGTCTGAAGTATGCAACAGGACATCTACAGAAGCCCGATGCGTTTTGGAAACAAGTGCTGTGGACTGATGAAGTTAAAATAGAACTCTTTGGACACAATCAGCAAAGGCATGTTTGGAGAAAAAAAGGAGCAGCATTTCATGAAAAGAACACCTTGCCAACTATTAAGCATGGGGGTGGATCTATCATGCTCTGGGGTTGTGTTGCAGCCAGTGGCACAGGAAACATTGCACGGGTGGAGGGAAGAATGGATTCCACTAAATACCAGCAAATTCTGGAAGCAAACATCACACCATCTGTAAAAAAGCTGAAGCTGAAAAGAGGATGGCTTCTACAACAGGACAATGATCCTAAACATACCTCGAAATCCACTATGGAATACCTCAAGAGACGCAGGCTGAAGGTTTTGGAATGGCCATCACAGTCCCCTGATTTAAACATCATTGAAAATTTGTGGGTAGATCTTAAAAGAGCTGTGCATGCAAGACGACCAAAGAATATTACAGAACTAGAAGCCTTTTGCAAGGAAGAATGGGAGAAGATCCCAAGTACAAGAATTGAAAGACTTTTAGCTGGCTATGAAAAGCGTTTGCAAGCTGTGATATCTGCCAGAGGAGGTGTTACTAAGTACTGATTGTGTAGGGTGCCCAAACTTTTGCACCATGCCATAATAATGTTTTTATTTTTTATTTTTGTTCATATATATATATAGTAATAGTGTTCTCCAAACTGTTTGACTTATGACTCCTTACTAGTCTAGTTGGGGCCTGTTGTCATGTATCAGATGTTTGTGAATTGTTATCAGTTTCACCAAAGAGACTTTTCCCTTCAAAACTTCTCAGTTTCACTTAGACAACTGTTTTAAGGCTTTTTGGGGATGTACAATTTTGCTTGCACTTTTATCATGCCCCAATCATCTCACAACCAGCCAGGTCAGAAGTTCTAAACTGAGAACCACTGGGCTAAACAGTACACGTTAGATAAAACCAGGACCAGCTAATGCAACTGGACACATCAGTATCAATGTTTAAACTGCATTAGTTGATAATAAAACACAATGTTAGTTTGATTGCATGATTATGACTTGTATTTTTCTATTATATTACTACAAAAGGATCTGAATACGTCAACCACTGCATTTGATAAACTAAATACATAAGTTACAAGGAGGACATCAAGAAAAATTAATATCAAGTCAAAACAACTACACCAGGTTATATTCGCAGTGGAAGGAGTACAAGTTTGTGCAAAATAGGGCTTGTTTGGATGATGGGGTCTTGAGACAGTGGTGGTATAATAATGGTTATGAAGGAAGGTAGCAGCTCTTGGGAAGTAACTATTGATCAGTGACCTTAACTATAATGTTATATACTGTACCACATCCTGGACTTTCTTAAAAGCAAAGTTGACATTTTGTTTTCCTACTTTCTCTTATCTTCTTAGTCTCTGGTGTGCATGTCTGGCAGAACCCCTAAAACTGGTCACTGATG